GTGTGTCCCAGGCAGTGACTGACACAGGAGCCCCCGGCGCTCTGTTGGGCGTGTGGGATGCCAGCTCCCAGGAAAGCGCTGGGATTTGTGGGAAGACCTGCCGGGAGCTGAACACATCCAAGCCAGAACAGGCGCGAGCTTGGGCCGCATCCTGCTGCTGCTGGAAGCACAGTGACATCGGCTGGGGAGGTCCCCTCATTGCACGCTGCTCCCGTGCCAGCAGGACCTGCTGGAGCGCCGCTCGCTTCTGCAAACCACGTGCTGAGCCTCCTCTTCCCTCCCACAGCCTGTGCTGAAAGGGCGTCCCCTTTGGCAAGCCGGCTCCGAGCTTGGGAATGGTGTTTCCCGGTCTGTTCTGGGGCTCGGGTTTGGGAACGCTGTTTCCTCATCTATTCTGGAGCTGTGTGGTGGGGCCGTTGGTGCCGTCCCTGCAGCAGGAGGCACTGTGAGGCCAGGAATAGCTTGTGAGAAAAACACCGGCGCCTCAATGGAGTGGGCAGCAGTCCGGGAATGCCCTGCACCTCTCCAGGTCCCGTTGCTGCCCTCTTGGAAGTGATGTGCATCCATTTCGGGATATCAGGGAGGGGGCTGGAGGATGCGCGGGCGGGGGGTGACGGGGCTGGGGCCTCTTTTTTTACTGTGCGTGTAAACCGTTGTGTTACAGTGTATTTCAACACGGCAGGTTGCTCGGAGCCCCTGGGCATGAAATCCCGCCTGATCTCTGACCAGCAGATCACGGCCTCCAGCGTCTTCAAGACGTGGGGCATCGATGCCTTTACGTGGCACCCGCACTACGCCCGCCTGGACAAGCCGGGCAAAACCAACGCGTGGACGGCGCTCAGCAACGGCCCCTCCGAGTGGCTGCAGGTGGGTGCCGGTGTCCCGGCGTGCCGCGCTCCGGGCACGTCCCCGCTGCCTCCGCGGACGCCCCGGGTGTGCGGAGGTTGCAGCCTTGTGGTTGGCAAGCAGCTCTGCAAATGCCCTTCCCCAGCGGGAATTGCAGGGGATTCCCTAGATTTGGGAGCCCGTTCTGCTCATGCTTTTCTTTCCTCCCGTTCCCCATCCCTCTCCGTGCTGTGCCAGCTCAGAGGGGTGTGGGATTGTGCAGGGAGCGAGCTCAGGGGACTGCCCTGGCTAAACGCCGGCCGTAGCGCACTTTGCCGTGGTGGTTTTTCCTGCCAGGTGTTTTCTTTTGCCCCAATCAGTCCCACAGCTGCTGCTTCCCACTGACATGACACCCATTTGTGGGGTACCTGGAGGCTGCACCCCTGGCTCTATGGGAACCCCCCCTTTGGGGGTCACTGTCCCAGACCCGTGCCAAGGACACAAGTCCTTTGGCTGCCCAGAACACCGCGTTTCTGTTTTGCAGGAAAAAAAAAAATCAGTTTTGTGTTTTTCTCCCTAGTCTGGAATGGAAACAAATAGTTTTGAAATTTCCTTCTCAATTTCCTTTCCTCCCCTGTTTTTATACTTTTCACATGATTTCATGACATAATAGGACAAAGCAGTTCAGTTATTTGTCCCACTTTTTATTTTATTTGGGAAATGATTAAAAGCAGCTGCTCCTTGGCCCTAAATAAACCATCTTATCAAAACATATCCTCATGGGGTCATGATGACACAGGGAGTCAGGCTGTTGCATGGGAGTCCATGTGCTTGTGTATGTGTGTATACGTGTAGATGTATATGTATGTATAAATACATATATACACATGCATATATAGCTAGTACTGCCCGCAATGAACATAGAATAGAAACTAAAATAAGGAGACTTCCGGGACATTTGCTATGTTATCCTGCAACACACCAGTAGCAATAGTGCAGCGTGGCAGGGCAAGGAGCAAAATAAATATAATGGAAACCATCTCAGCTCTAACCCACATGCCAGACTGTGTCAATGTGCATATTTTCCCAGCCAGAATCATTTCCCTTTAGCAATGCATTTCCTCTGGGAGTCCTGTATTTTGAATGGAGATGTTTTCCTGTCGTTCCCACATTGACATTTTCAGCGAAAGGGGCTCTGGGGGCGCGCGGGGCGCAGGGCCCTTCCCGAGGCAGCAGCCTCGTGCTGCCCTCATTGGTGCAGAACGTCTCCTTTCTGCTGCTCTGACTCGGGCTGCTTGGAGGGCTGCTGCGAGTGCTAAAGGGGCGAATGTCTCCTTGCTGTCATGTTTTATCAGCCCCTGCGCCTGCAGGGGATGCTCGCAGGGTGCTCCGGGCTGGCAAGGTGGTGGGGAGAGCAGGGGCTTCAGCTCTGCGAGCCGTCACGGGGAGGCCTCTGGCTGCCAGGAGCCCGGCCATCCTGCGGTGCCGTTGGCTACGGGTCTTTTCTCTCCGCCAGATCGACCTCAGGGACCAGAAGAAGGTGACGGGCATCGTCACGCAAGGCGCCCGCGACTTTGGCCACATCCAGTACGTGGCAGCCTACAAGGTGGCCTACAGTGACAACGGCACCTCCTGGACCCTGTACAGGGACAGCCAGACCAACAGCACCAAGGTGTGCAGGGAAGGGCATCCAGGGCTCACGCGGGGGTCCCGGCTGGTGCGTGGGGAAGGGGCTTGCGGGGTCCCGGCTGACACCGGCCTCTCCACAGATCTTCCACGGCAACAGCGACAACTACTCGCACAAGAAGAACGTGTTCGACGTGCCCTTCTACGCGCGCTTCGTGCGCATCCTGCCCGTGGCCTGGCACAACCGCATCACGCTGCGCGTGGAGCTGCTCGGCTGCGACGAGTAGGCGCGCGCGGCGGCACCGCACCGGG